CAAAGAAGCCTGGAGATGGGTAATTGCTCTCTGAAGGGAAGGGAAAGACTGGTTCCTGACAGTGGAGAGTGCAGAGGAAAGGAAGAGAGGGGATGCAACTAAACAACTGCCTGCAAAGTGCCTGGAAAGTGCAGCTGGTGGAGGGAGTGGCTGCTCACTGGAGATTGCACATTTTTGCACACACCATAAAGCAGACCCAGGAGAGGGAAGAATTGTAGGTTTTCTTGCCTGAAAACAAAGGAACCTACTTCTTCCATTAGTTGAACAAATGGAATGACCTGTGTAAAATCTAAGGTCTTCGTAGCATACCAGCTTACCAGGTAATGGAGCTGTAAGAGGTTAGGAGGCATGACCTTGCCCTTGAGAAATTCACAATCTAACTGAAGAGATGGGGCATTTCGACACTGGAGTATTAAAGTCAAATTTGCAGAGAGTACCTGGCTACACGCAAAAATGAGGGAAAGATGGAAGAGTGAGATCAGCGTAGGCAGGAAAGGATGAGCAAGAAAGACTTTGAGACAGAAGGTATGCCTGCCGTGTCTTAGAGGACAGAAAAGTGTTGATAGGAAGAAAGTGCTGAGGGGTTTTAGATGGTTAGGATAAGTATAGGAAGAGCTAAAATTTATTGAAGACTTACACTATGTCAGGAACTATTTTAAATAATTTACCACGATTGTTTCATTGATTCCTAACAACCACAAGAGGTACACACCATTATTTTCCTCATTTCACAGATGAGGAACACAAGGTGTAGAGGGGCCTGACAAATTCCTTTGGGGCACAGCACTAGCTTGTGCCAGCAGAGGCACAGAAGCAATAATAAGGGGGGTGAACTCAGGGTACAGTGAGGTGGCATGGCCAGTCCTGCTGAACAAACAAGGTTTGCCAAGTCCTGAAGCTGTCACTGAGTGAGTGGACTTGATCATCTTCAATAGGGAGCCAAGGAAGAGTTTTGAGCAGGACTCTGGCAGAAAAGAGCTTGGTGCTTTAGGAAGACTTAGCCAATGATTGGATTCACAACTGACTGCAATGGAAACAGGATGGCGGCTGAGAGACCGCTGAGCTATCACGACACGGACATTGTGTAATCTAACGTGACTAAGGTTGGGATCCATGGAAATGAGGAAGGGACACAGGGACTGTTCCGACCTTAGAAGTTACAGGAAGGTTAACTGGCTGTGTGGTAAAGAAGAAAGGGATGAGTCACCTCTTCCTCCATCCTTTCAGGACCAATGACTTGCTTCCCATCCTCACTGAAGAAAGAAGCAATCCAGGGAGGTTTCCCACAGTCTCCTGCCACCAGCTGCCCCCTCACCAGGGTGTCGCTCCAGAAACTCTCCTCCCCCTCCGAATCATCAACGTTCCCCTCTGCTGAATCATCCCCAACAACAGGTTTTGCTGTTATTTCTCTTATCTTTACAAAACAAACAAAACCTCTCTCCTGGTCCTGCTTTCCCTTCAAGCTACCATCCCATTTCTCCACTTTACACTAAAACTCCCCAAAAAGTATGTACTCATTGTTTCCCATTCTCTACTAAGAAAATAATAATTCTCTCTTCATAAAATTCTCTCTTCCCACATAAATTAGGCCTTCCTCGACTCCGGCTTAAAAGTCCTTCTCCAACCTCACTGATTACTCCTTCTCAGTCCTCTTTGCTAATTCATCTCCATCAACCCAACCCCTTAACATTGTAACCCAGGGATCAATCCTTAGACTGCCTCCTTTTCTTAATTTGCAATCACCACCTTAATGATAGTACCTGGTTTCGTGGTTTTAAATATCATCCGTGTGCTGGTGGCTCCCACATTTATATCTCTGGTCCCAACTCTCCTGAAATCCACACTCATCTATCCAATAGTCTACTCTGCCATGTGTCCAATAGACAGCTCAAACCTAACATGTTCCCAACTGAGTTCCTAATCTTCCCCCCCAAAAAAACCTGTTCCTCCCACAGTCTTTCCCCATCTCTTTAAAGGATGGTTCCATTTTTCCAGTTGTTCAGATCAAAAGCTATAATCATCTTTAACTCCTCTTCTTTTCTTATGTCCCAGATTAAATCCACAGCCAATCCTGTAAGGCCTTCTTCAGAAAATATCCAGGATACACCATGTCTCATCAGCTCCACTCTCTGCTACCACTTTCACAATGTTCCAAGACCTCATCAACTCCTGAATTATAGCAATCGCCCTCCTTTATAAATAGTCTCCCTCTTTTCACCCTAGCCACTCCCACTATGTGCTCTCAACACAGAAGCCAGAAGACTCCTTTTAGAATGTAAGTCATCTCATGTCACTCCTCTGTCCAAAACTCTCCATCGGCTCCCCCAGTCCCCTAGAGTAAACACTAAATCCATAGAGAGACCAGTAGGGCAACCAATAGGGCCCTACATGAATGGGCTTCCCATGACTGCTCTGCCCCTCCTCTTAATCCTGCCCACACCAGGTGTGCTTCCACCTAACGGTCTTGGCACCAGTGATTCACTTTGGCCTGGAACATTCTTCCCTCAGATATCCTCCGTGTTCCT